TAATAATCATATGTAATGGATGTAAACATAAATGTAATTGTACTAGTAAAAAAATAAAACTACTTTCAGTTCTAGTAGGCTACCTGACTAATAAGAGAAGTTTCCAATCCACCGTAATTCAAATGGGAAATGGGAAGAACAATGGGAAAAAATAGACTATATATATATATATATATATTAAAAACAACAACAACAACAACAACAGCGCATTATAGTGAGGGCCCCAAACTCAAGTTCGCCTAGGGCCTCTACCTTGCTAACTCCGCCATTGATTATGATACTTAAACTTCTTGGGTTGTTTTTAAAGACAGTACAGTAAAGTGTATTTTCCTTGTTGCCGCTGCATCTTCAGAACTGTCCCCGGTGTTGGTGTTGACATGTCATATATCAGCTGTTGTTACTTCCTGTGGGCGTGGTCAGTCTGATGGACCTGACAGGTCGCTCAGATTGACCACGCCTCCCGTCACCCGGTGTTCTCTGGAGGAGGGTGTCCCGGGTGTGTGTGAAAGGAGGAACGCTCCATAATCTCAGTTAATGCTGTCCGTGCCTCATTTCCTGATTTCACTGTCCTCCCTGATCCACTGTTTGAACTTGCTGTTCTGATCCAATGACCCGAGCCCCGTCCCAATCCAGAATGTGCTTATTTCTTTTACACTGCTCTGATATGGCGGATTTTAGGTTTTCCTGTTCTGCTTTGTCTTTTTGTGTTCTGGTGAGTCTCCCTGGTGTTTCCTTTTAGCATTCCTTTTGGTGTTCCTTTTTTCAAATGGGGAATGCCCGGCCGGGACCTAGTTTGTTCTGTAATACTTTGTTGTACTGTTACTGATTTGTTTGTTTCCTCTTGCTGTATTTATGAATTTGAACTGGTGTCAAGATGATGCTTTGACTCCACCTTTTCGGTCTGTGTATGTTGAATATAACTGTCTGTGAAATAATATCAGAATATACCTGTGACCCACATAAATTAATCAATCAGAAAATATGAAAATACACTTGTTAATCACAACAGAGACTGGTTAATGCCAGATCTATGGAGAAGCGAGCCTGCTCATGGTAAGAATTCATGTTTCGAAGGCATTCTTGAGCCTATAATTGAACAAATGCAAGAGAGGTTTAATGTTCTATAGTGGTACATTCCAGGCTAAAGAATAGCATCTCCATGGAGACGTTACATAGTGCATCTTTAACACTTAGTTTGGAGTGTGTTTTTGTTAGTGTCTTGTAAAACCAACTCGGTAAAAATAGGCCGAGCTGCTGTAGGTAATTTTAACGGCTTCCTCTGACCAGAAATAGTGAGGCGTGAGAAAGTGGGAAAGGCGTGGACGTGGGCTTCCTGAAAGTGACTGTCGCCGGGTCGTGGTTGGTCGGTTCCGCGGCCCGGCCCACACGCATGGGTTTAATACTTCCTGGAACTATTTAGGGAGCATCAAAGGAGCATTTAATTATAAACAAAAGACTAATGTACAACAGGCTGAGGGGCAAAGGTTGGAATAAAACAGCTGAAGAAATACTAACTTGAATGCTTGAACTTTGTGTTACTTCTACTTAGCTATCAACATTTGAATTAAAGTATTTATCTTTAAAAAATTCACTATGTAGTTATATCAACCGGATAGTGGGAAAACATGTGAAACTGCTCTTTCAACTTTTGTCAATTGTTCTGTTTTTGGCAAGAATACAGCTGGAAAATCTTTTTTTTTTTTTTTTTCATAACTCCTAAGCAAGAATTGAGTTGGAACCTGAACAGTTCTTCATGCTGGACGGACCACATATTCTGGTCCTGTGTGAAGATGAATACATTTTAGACAAAAGTTGGATCAATAATTGAACAAATAACAGTTTTTACTATTACTCAAAATGTGATGACACTATACATGTGGGATATACCTGATTTACCTTGGATCATTTGCAGAATTACAAAACGAAAACAGAACATAGACCACGACTACATGGGTCATGACATGAAGGGTCCAAGCTGAAACAAAGGTACCAGACGCATGAACAACAAGTTTGCATTTACAACTCCATCCCACTGTACATATAAGAGATAAAATATTAATTAAAACAAACAAAACTCAATGCACAATTCATTAACTCCTGGGCTTCGCATTTTCCAAAACACAACACCCTATACTCTTTTTTAAAAGGCTTCTACATTGTTCTTACGTTCTTGCATTCTCATTGTCGTTTATTTTGCAAACTTTTGTGCCTTCATTAACATTATTATTAGTTGGTACCTTAAAAAAAAAAAGAAGATAAGAACTAGGAAGAAAGTGGTAGAGGTTTTGGTTTGTGGAACAATCGGAGTGATGATTTTAAACAGTCCAACTCGTAAATGGCTTCAACCAGATCCACCTATGCTAGAAGACTGGTTAAAAATAACTGAAGAAACTCATAAAATGGAATGTCTGGACAGTGAGCTAAATGGTCTAAATATCGCAGTGAAGTTTAGTTAGGTTAGTGCTGCTCCAGCTATGTACCTATAAAACAGTACCATTCCAGAGTGACATATGTATTAGTGATTTCTCTATGCATGTATAAATATATTTTTTTTCATCTAAATGTATGTTAAATTCCTCACCAACTGTGCCTGTTTTTGGTTTTATTTTTGTTATTGTATAAAATGCTCAATATGCTCAAGGCAGTTCTCAAAAATAAAAATAAATAGATAAATAAATAAAATTATAAATACAATTTCACCAAATATGTGATTTTTCTGGTGGAGAGTCCAGAACACTTTCTTGTATCCGTGGAGATGTATTTGTTTCAACTAGAATGCTCCACGGTATGGCATTAAAGTTCTCTGTCAGCAAGGAAACAAGCAGACGACGCAACCAGGCCAAGTTACAAGTCAGGTCTGTGGAGAGGCGAACCCACTCACACTAATGCATGTTTTTAAAGGGGTCATCTTAAACAATTTTCTGATCTATGTTATAGTGTTATTTCCTCATCAAAAACAGACCTGGACTTGTGTTTTGTTTCATTCACACATGTTTATCACACAAACCCTTTAGACATAAATGAGTTCTTCTATTAAACAGAAAACACTCTGTTCCACCATGTGATGTCATGTGGTGATGCAGGAAGTGTTACTCTGTATTTTAAACTCCATGTATTGTCACTAAAACCATTTGGATGATTACAGCTCTGGAATTGCCAACAGGCAAACAGGAAGACATTTGGAAAAATGTGATGACAACTTCCGGTGTAGTTCCCAACATTGGGCTCGCCGACCGACGGTGATAAAACCTACTCAGCGGAAAAATGAAGACTGCAGACGTACACTACCGGTGAAAAGTTTTAGGACACCACACTTTTTAAAGTTTTTTACTGTTTACTGTTTGCTGTTGACCAAAACATATTCTGACTTTTGATTCATGAAAGTGAATACATAGGAATCAAATATTGTTCAGAAAGTTCTTCCCAAGTCTGTTGCAGAAGTTCCATAAATGTGTGGCACTTGTAGGTTGCTTCACTCTTCTGTCCAGTTCATTCCAAACCAGCTCGATGGGGTTTAAGTCTGGACACTGTGCTGGACACTCCATGTTTTCAAGCTTTACCATCTTGTTCTTTTTTCCTGAGGTAGTTTTGACAGAGCTTGGACTTGTGTTTTGTATCTTTTTTCTTTTTTTTTAACCTCTGTCTGTTCAGTTCTTACTTTTGTACCATTTCAAGCTCTTCACTGGACTTGCATGACTTGAACTGCAATAAATGACTGGAAAAATTAAGGTGTCCTAAAACATTTGACTGGTAATGTATGTGCTATTTGGAATCATCTTGAATTTGGCGCCTCATCTCTTCTAATCACATGTACCCAGAGCACTCAGAGTTGTGTGTCAGTGGGGAAATGATGAAAACTGAGGAATGGTTGTAATTCTTGAATAGCCAAACATAATGGAATGCCACAATGACATGGAGATGAAGAAACGGGGCCATTTTTCATTTTTCCTAGATTTTGTCAGACTTACCCTGCGTTTGATTATCTTCTGACTCTCACTTGGACATGGGATTTGACGTCACGTCTGAGCGTGAAGCTTAGCTATTATTATGTTTCGCATGTCAGACTTGGAGAGTAGCATGTAGCCTCACCACAACACCAATTACCACACCCACAGGCAGTGATACAGACGTGGTAAGGTACTGAAGGAATATGAGTGATTGAATTTGTCATTTAAACCACCAAAGTGTCCAAACACAATAAAAACACTTCATATTTACACGTCACAGTGAGCACAGCCATCTTGGCTTCTGACTCGGAATCCTTGCTCTGTCTACTTTTTCCACCACTGAGATCTGAGTGGCACTGTCCCAGGAAAAGGGGCGTGTCATGCATGTCGCTAAGCAACTCCTCAGAAAACTGATTCGTTAGTATAATCGAACGCAGGGTTACTACTGTGAACAGAACCCGCCGCAAGTTGTCATTGCATGTTTCCAAACGCCTTCCTGGTTTGTGATGTTAGTGTGAATAGAGCCTACCTCTACTAAACTAAACTAAAGGTAAAAGAAGCTGTGAACTTGAAAACTACCACTTCATGACATCACAATGTGGAAAAGAGCATTTTGAGTTTTGTAGATGACAGAGTAGACTAATAATAAAGGGTTACTCAAACATGTGGATGAAATAAAACACAACCATGGGTATGTTTTTGAAGAGGTAACAACATTCCTACATGGCTTAAAGCTCTCACAAGAGTTACTTTTGTGTAATATAGGGACATAGTAAAGTTTTTTTTTTTGTTTTTTTTTGACTGACAAATGCAAAATGCTAAATGAATTGCTCGTTTGTAAACCAACTGAAACATAATTTTAACATATCATAACGTTTATGTGTTAAACCCACTTGAACTTGTAGTCAAATCATGTCATTCTCCTGAGATGACTCACAAAATGGCGCATCCTCTCCTCTTGTTTCCTATTTTTATGAATGAAGGCGGAGGTCGTGAGCCTGTCCTATCACCCTTCACCGCCAGGGGGTAGAGCAACCTGTGGAAAGCGCGTTCGGCATGCCCCCCCCTCGGTCACAGCCTCCCTCTCCTCTGCGCCTCACCGGGATCTCTCGCTACATAAAGGCGACATTCAGCGCTGGATTGATGGCATTCGCTGCGCAGACGTAACCCGGCGTGTGCGACAGAGCCTCGGCTGTCGATATGATCCGTTTAGCATCGAAAAATAGCTGAACAAACCTTTTTTTTTCCCGCAGCCCATCGCATATCTATCTATCCCTCCTCTGCTCTCGTCTCCCCCCGATTTGTCTCTCGCTTTCTCGGTTGAAATTTGACACAACATCCGCAAGCTTTCTCTCCCGTTCGGATGTAGGAGATTTGGGGTTAATTGGCCTGGTGTTTTCCTCAACAACTTCCAGGAATACCAGGCTAACGTTGTAGCAAATGACTTTAGCCTTTAGCAAATAAAGGCGCACAAAATCCAACGCTTTTTTTTAAAACATCCCCAACCAGTTCTTACTCCATGAAAACGACACGTCTCTCGGCCAAAAGGTGATCTGCGACTTTAACCATGGCAGCTACGTTGACGGTGGAAGAAGAACAGGTAGGCCACAAGTCAATTTTGTCCTTATGTTTTCATTTTAAGTCTAAAATTTCAACTATTACCGCACCGGGACGCGATTCTCTCCGTGCGTAATGGTCGCGGGGTCGTTACGAAATCGCCCTCAAACGCGTAAAACGGAAATGTTGTATCGATTTGTGTCGCATTATTGCTCTTGTTGCATCGGTGCCAGGTCGCTTCCTCTTCCAAATCCACAATAACAAAGCCTTAGTGTATGGAAATGGATCATATACTTATTTTTAAGGTAGACTTTGGTTTGTAGGCTGCCATTTCCGTGCATTTTGTGAGGGCTGAACGCATGTTGTTGTTTATACAGGCAAAGTAGTCAGGCAGTGGAAAGTTTCAGGCAGGCTATAGCAACCCATAAAAACTGTGCGTCTATAAGAAAGAATTCTTGTTATTTGACGTTTACGTAATTTGCGTATACTTCCTGTGTTATCATATTTTTAGCCAGTTTGACCTACTGCAACCTCACCTACGCAGGATTTGAAAGAAAGCTAAAGATGTCATTAATTATTTGGTAAAAGCAAAAAATAACTTTAAAGGGTCCATATTACGCTATTTTCTGATTTGTTATAATGTTGTTTGCTCCAAAAACAGACCTGGAGTTGTGTTGTGTTTTGTTTCATTCACATGTTTAAAGCACAAACTCTGCTTATTTAGGTTGAGTTTTTCTCTCAAAATGAAAACGTTCTGTTCCAATTTGTGATGTCATGTGGTAATACTGGAAGTGCTTTACTGTGCTTTTAAACTTCACACACCTTCACTGGAATCATTTGGATTATCTCAGCCATGAAATTGCCTATTTATACTAAACAAAAGGTAAAATGTTAGTCAAGCTGGCGCCATCTAGTGCCGCCACTCAATTTCATTTCTCTCCAGCGACTAAGTCAGGAATCAGAATAGACGAGACGGTCTGCAAGAACCCCGGAAGTTACAGACTGCGCACCAGCCAATCAGCGAAGAGCTGTGAAGCCATGATGTCAAACTCAAGCACCTGTCTGTGTGCCTTATGTGGTACAGCACAACAGTAAACAAAGCGGTCGAGATGGATGTAGATGAAGACAGACATTTTGTGTTGACAACGATTCCCGAGATTGAGGATTTAAAGCTGGAACAAAGAGAATGTTTGGTGAAGGGGAAAGGAAACATTATTGCCCTTCTTCCTACGGGATTTGCCGCATTACATATGTCATGACCAAATAGCAGCGATTGGTTACATTTTTTAAAAAGTACCCATCTACTGTCGAGCGAAAGAATCCTAATGCTGCGAGGTCAGACGGTTTCCACGAAGTGAAACTGACTGATGAATCAAGTTAGTAAACGGTAGCTGTTAACTTGCAAACGACTGCTTCGTGACATCACAAGGTGGAACGTAGCATTATGAGCTTTGGAGATGTAGACAGACTGATAATAAAAAGATTACTCAAACGTGTGAATGAAACAAAACGCAACTCCGGGTCTGTTTTTGAGGCGGTAACAACATTCTAACATGGCTTAAAGCTCACAAGACTCGATTGGGCGTAATAAAAATTAAATCAAAAGTCTTATAGGTGCTTGAAAATCGCAATATTTTCTTTTTGGCATGAACTACCTCTACATACAGTTGAATGACATTACCCAGGTGAAGAGAAGGCCTAGTATAAACAGTCATTTAGTAAATCCAACCCAAGCCTATTATTACTGCTGACTAATCGCAGTGCAAATATGCTACACATGCTTATTTTTAGTCTATAGGCTCCGGTCACGTAGCATCACAACATTCCCTATTGTTTCTTTGCAGTGACATCAAGCTGGGGGTGTTGTACGTGTCTGTGTACGGTGGAATGTTTAGTTTAGTTACCTTCGTGACACAATGCACAAGCAAACACTGCAGAAACATTTTAAAATGGTCTGAAAAATTGATTTAAACAACACATTTGATTGATATGAGGGTTCATAGTCCTATTTAGGAGTTTGATTTTCAACAAAAATGTGAGAGTGACTAACTGAAAAACTGTTGGCTCATTCTACCTAGCTTGTAACTGTAATTTTATGTGTGAGAGACTTGTTTAAAAGCAGAATTCAGCTCATTTGTTCTAGTTCCAGTTAAATCAGATTGTGTTAAACTGAAGCTCAGATTAAAGTCTAATTTGAGTAACAAAGCCTCAGACAGAGCAGTGCCTACAGTTGGCATCACACCCCAGGAGAATATTGACGAAATCAGCTGCAAAGTATCAGGACAGGTCAGAATTCTATCTTGGAATTTGCTGTGTAACCGTCAGATTTGCAGATTTGTTGACCTGGTTTATAGTTCATATCTTTGTAATTACCGGGCCTATTCACATGAAACAAAAACTGGCAAATGAATGAATGAATGGGCATTTGTGTGTGTGTTTGTGTGTGTGTCCAGACCTGAAATGAGCTGACCACTGCGACCCTGCCTGAAGCCTTATGTAATCTAACTGAAATGTGATAATATATTTCACAAAATCTAAATAGAAAATAAAAATTAAAAGTCATAATTACGCAAAATTGACTCTTGTGGGCTTTAATTCTTGTTAGAATGTTGTCACCTCCTCAAAAACAGACCTGCAGTTGTTTTGTTTCATTCACACATGTTTGAGTAACTCTTTATTATCATTCTGTCTACATCTCCAAAGCTCAAAATGCTCTGTTCCAACTTGTGATGTCATGAATTAGTAGTTGTAGTAGTTTTTCAAGTGAACAGCTCCTTTTACTTTTTGTGTAGTAGAGATCAACAATTCCAGGTCTGAAATAATCCAAATTATTGTAGTGAAAGTGTATGGAGTTTAGAAACACAATGGAGCACTTCTTGTATTACCACATGACATCACAAAGTGGAACAGCGTTTTCAGTTTGAGAGAAGAAGTCAGCCTAAATATGCAGGATTTGTGTGTTAAAATGGGAATGAAACAAAAGGAAACATTATAAGTTAGCAAACTGAGTAAGTATCTCATTAAATACCGTAATATGGAGCATTTAAAACCTAAAATTTCAACCTAAAATAAAAATACCATTCTTAGAACAATCCATTTGTGTACATACATTACACTATAACACTATTTTCTAATCAGACCTTTTGAAAGTGACTAAGAAACAATATAGGTTAATACATTTTTACCATTGTAATTATTCATGGTGATGAGTTTATAAGTGCTTTTCAAGACCTTAAGGGCCTGTTTTCACAAGAACGCTTGCGTGTAAAAACAACAAAATACTTTATCGGAAGTGCCTTTCTTTTAGACAGTGATGGCGCAATAATCTAAAACCATCCTCCAGAGTGGAAAAGTTGAATACGCTCCGCTGTAGCGTTTCAGTCTACATTCCCCAAGCTGCAAAACTCTGGTCAGATCTGCTCACGTCGCGTACACGTTTACGTCACATACACATGGCGCAGATGAGAAGAAGGAAGATTCTACACATGCGGACATAGCGGTGTTGTGCGTGTTAGTGTATTACAGCACCACCTAGCTGCCTGGCATGCATACCCAATCGAATTCCACACATTTGCATCACTGTGTGTGCGCAGATTTCCTCCTGAAAACGCTCAACTAAATGCGGAATAAAAAGTGAAGACACAACACCACTTTTGCGTCTTCTGTTAAGACCGTCATCATATGAACATAGCCTAAGCTTGCGTTCACATTTGCGCCTACACGACATCAGAATTGGTACTAAACTGAGACTACACTTAGAACTAAACCAGGACTATAGACCAAGTACAAGTGTGAACGCACCATCAGCTTTCAGGGTGGAGTTTTATCATCATGGTAATGCTAACAACAACTAGCATGCTAATATATCTGTACCATAGGGTTCTACAACCTGTAACTTGGGAGCTACCAGTTGCTCTCCAACTAATAAGTAGCTCGTAGGATTTCTGAATTATGTATTATACTGAATAACTCAAATTTGATTAATTACCATTGTAAATACGACTAGGTATCATTAAGAAGTTACCAATACAATACATGCCTTGATACATAGGCCACGATACCATACATACCTTGATACATAGGCCACGATACGATACATACCCACATACCATACATACATAGATACATAGGCCATGATTCGATACATAGGCCACAATACCATACATGCCTTGATACATAGGCCACGATACGGTACATACTTCGATACATAGGCCACGATACGGTACATACTTCGATACATAGGCCACGATACGGTACATACTTCGATACATAGGGCCACGATACGATACATACCTCGATACTTAGTGCAATGTATCGAAAATGTATGGTATCGATCGTGCCCTGTCGATTCAAAACAATTTGATATGATATATTTCAGATCGATTCGATACAGTTCAGTGAAAAAATGCTAAATCAGGGCTGTGATACTAAAAGTCTACTACGTCTACTAAGTTGGTTCAAAGTTACACCCATTTTACGAAAAACAGTGAAAATGTCATCACAATTGTAGCTCTTACACAAAATAATTTAATAAAATATATCAAAAATTATGCTTAGTGATATTTCGATACAGCAGCCCACGATATTGATACTGTATCATCAAATTAAACAATACGATATATCAATATTTCAGTATTTAAATATTTTTGCACACTCCTAATTGTAAAAGTGTTATTTTGAACTTTGTACACTAATAAATGGATAATGGTTTTATGTTTTAAAGGCATCTAACTACACCATCTAACACTTGCCCTCTTATATCGACTCAGTTTCTTGTGGTCACTAAAATAAGTAGCTCTCCGGCATTTTTATTTTGTAAAGGGAGCTCACTAGACGCTAAAAGTTGGAGATCCCTGTTGTACCGAGACCTCACAACGTCCAAAGTTACTCCTCACTTACCTTCTGCGTTCCGAGTGTCCTAATTATTCACCATGATGAGTTTGACAGCTTGAGGTGTTTTGCTCACAACAATTAGCATGTAAACCACGCACTTCCTTTCTGACATTAGAACTAGGGCTGAACTAGAACTAGAACTTGCATTAA